AAAGTAAATTTATTACACTCAATGTTGAGCCTAGATTAGAAAAAGAATAATGATTAAATAGACTTAATTTTATGAAATTAAAATTTAAGATTAAAAACATAACATGAACTGTGATTTAAAATATTAAAAAATAAATTATATATTATTTAATAATTAACTTTTTTTTATTATATTGAGATACATAATATTATACGTGAGGTCAATATGTTTTTTTTTTCTTATTATTATTTATGTTGGGAATTTTGAGTACCAAAATTCCACGCAAACGAAAATAATAAAGAAATTGAGACAATAATTTAACATAATTCGACTTGTATATTCTCAATAAATCTACAATGGGAAAGAAAAAAATGAATCCACTATTAAAAAAAAGTGCAATAATTTAAAAATTCTTTTATTTAAGAAATTCTTAATACCCTATTTTCAATATATAAAAACTTTTAAATTCCTCTTAATATTCTCTTAATCTTTACAAAAATTATCTCACAATTTCTCTAATTCTTTTTCCTTATAAGAGCCCTCACTCACTTAGCTCTTCTTAATTCCTCTTGCTTTCCCTCAATCTTGCTTGGTTGATGCCTTTACATGCATAGGTATTTATAATTAAAAATTCAACAATCAGTTCATATCTTTTTTTTTTGCCTCGATAAATGAGTTCATCATGCAATTTCTAGCGATGATTTCAACAAAGCAATACTAACCCACGGGCCGGTGAAGAGAAGTACCACATGGAAAGTACATGGGGTTAGGCTTTTACCAACGATTTACACCTGTCTCAAAAGGCGAGATTCTCGCATTGCCATTGAGGGAGTTTAACTTTCTTTCCCTCACCATCTTAAACTCTTCTTTTCCTCTAACACAAATCCTCTTCTGTATTCTCCAATGGCTGCCAATGGTAAGATCTAGTTCCGTTAACGATTTCATGTTTTGAACTTCAATGAGAATATTTATGAATCGAAATCGATGTAATAAAATAGATCCTTGATTGGAAATGGAAATGTGTTTGTTTTGATGGCAGCGGAAGAACGTGAGATTCAGAAGAGCTACTGGATCGAGCATTCTGCAGATTTAACTGTGGAGGCTATGATGCTCGACTCCAAAGCTTCTGATCTTGACAAAGAAGAACGTCCAGAAGTAAGCTCTCAATGTTGCCCTTCTGTCTTAATCAGATTTCTAAGTTTGCGTGCATTGCGTTAGCTTCATGTCTAAAATATACGAATCGGAGCTCAAAAGGCCGAAAACCTTTTTGCTAGTAATCAATTTTCTGTTAGCATGGAGTGAAAATATGTATACTCGAATCTGTATCAGTTAGCATGCATGCAGTTTCTGTTTATAATTTTTTTTGAATATATATTTTTTGCATTAATTAGCGCCCTTGTTACCAATTTTTGATATCATTCCTCAAATCTATTTTGATGCTAAAATTTTCTACGTTGTTATGTTTTTCTTGCCATCAGCAATAATTACAGCAGACATAACGATGTTTTTATTTTGATGTTTTTCTAATTTGGTTTGCTTTTTCCCCTTCAAAAATTGATGTAATTCTAGTTGATAGGTGGTCAAATATCAAAATTTCAAAATTTTAACCAACTGGAACAAACAGGTGCTTTCTCTACTCCCAGAATATGAAGGAAAATCAGTTGTGGAACTTGGAGCTGGTATTGGGAGATTTACTGGTGACTTAGCTCAGAAGGCTGGTGAAGTTATAGCCCTGGACTTCATCGAGAGTGTTATAAAGAAGGTGATTGATATCATGCCCTTACAAATAATCTGTAGGTTATGGATGTAAAGAGAAGCATCTGCGTTATTTCTAACCAGAGCTTGATTGATTTTTCTTTATTTATTATATTTCCCACATCCAGAATGAAAGTCTCACTGGTCATCACAAAAATGTGAAATTCATCTGCGCTGATGTGACATCCCTGGACTTTAATTTTCCTGAAGGATCTGTGGACTTAATATTCTCCAATTGGTTGCTGATGTATCTTTCAGATAAAGAGGTATGCTTTAGTTGAAAAGACACTCGTTTTCTTGAAAACTCTTGATTTTGCTTGCACTGTAGAAATTGGTTTTCTATTCCCTGGCATAGTTAGAGACTTATTGCTTGCACAATTATTTTTGTTGTAAAATGTCAGCTGTAGATACTACTCTTTTATTTCTAAAGACATATCATTCAGCTATGTTTTTCATATAGAAACTGAATTTTTGATTGTGTATATGTGAAACAAATTTTTCTTTTACCCACTTAGAAATTGGAAGTGTGCATATGTCAGTTACAAGACTAATATAACAGGAATCCATAAAGAGCTAATATTTTCATTGATTGCCAGTGATGGTTGAGTTTGTTTTAGCCTGCACTGTGGATATTTAGAATTGTATCACTTTTCTGTTATATGTTGACAGGTAGAATAAAGGTTCAAGTTTTTCTTTTGAAACAAATTTAATTTAGATGCAGTTCTGCCCTTTGCCTTTGGTAGTTATATATGCCATGGTGATTGCTTTCTTAACATGTCAATTTAATCTTCCTCCTACTCAGTTCAACAACTCAGCATATGTGCATCAGTGCATTTGCACTTTGAGTTATAGACAAAGTGGTAGTTGTGAGATTTTCTATCTTTTTAATTCAATTACCATACAGTCTCTAACTTGATTTTAATCATCCTCTTTGAGTAAGCATTTCTTTTACAACAATTTCCCATCAAATTCAGGTCGAGAATTTGGCAGAGATGATGGTCAAATGGTTGAAGGTTGGTGGGTATATTTTCTTTAGGGAGTCTTGCTTTCATCAATCTGGAGACTGCAAGCGAAGAAACAATCCAACCCACTACCGTGAGCCTAGATTTTATACAAAGGTTTTCCTTTTCATCTGTATTTTCATTACACCAGTGCTTTGAGGATTTTGATTATGTAATGTTATATTTTCATACCCTGCTTTTTTGTGCAACCAAAACGTTTGTTGTGTATTATACTTGCAGGCCTTTAAAGAATGCCACACCAATGATGATTCGGGGAATTCATTTGAGCTATCTCTGGTTGGCTGCAAGTGCATTGGCGCTTATGTGAGAAACAAAAAGAATCAAAATCAGGCATTACACCATGATTCATTTAACCATTTTTTCCATTTTTAACTAACCTAAGTTGAACAGGTGACCAGATCTGAAATGTTCTTTGCATGATGCAGATTTGCTGGACATGGCAGAAAGTTGATTCAGAGAATGATAGGGGATTCCAGCGCTTCTTGGACACTGTTCAATATAAATGCAGTGGTATATTGCGTTATGAGCGTGTCTTTGGACAAGGATTTGTGAGCACTGGAGGAATTGGTAACCCTTTCCCTGATAGCTTCTGTGAAAATTTCTTTTCTTTGACTTAATGATCAGTGCTCATGGATTTTTTTTCATTGAGCAGAAACGACCAAAGAGTTTGTTGCAAAGTTGGATCTTAAGCCAGGGCAAAAGGTTCTAGATGTTGGCTGTGGCATTGGAGGAGGTGACTTTTACATGGCAGAGAACTTTGATGTCCATGTTGTTGGCATCGATCTCTCTGTTAATATGATTTCTTTTGCTATTGAACGTGCCATTGGACTCAAATGTGCAGTAAAATTTGAAGTTGCGGACTGCACCAAGAAAACATATCCTGACAATACGTTTGATGTGATCTACAGCCGCGACACCATTCTACACATTCAAGTAAGGCTTCTTGGGCCTTTAGACATTCCACAAGACTAATTTTCTTTGAGCATTTTATTTCTACCTATATGTTTAACATAGACAGGACAGTGTAGAAAGATTCCAGGATGTATTTGCTGGACTACTAATGAAGAGTTTTATGTGGAATGTTTCTTTAATATGGGATTGAGAGGGTTCAATGTGGTACAGTTGATTATTTCTTAGATTGTTATTGGATTTGAGGCATTCCCATCTTGATTTGATTAAAAAAAAAAAAATGTAGCATTTTTATTCACTTTTGGTCTGTCATCCTTCTTCTATCATTCTCCCTCCTTCGAGTCAAGTCTCACATTGTGTATCCTTTTTCTTTTTCAGGACAAACTTGCATTGTTCAGATCTTTCTACAAATGGTTGAAGCCAGGGGGTAAAGTTCTTATTAGTGATTACTGCAAAAGTGCTGGAACACCATCATCGGAATTTGCAGAGTATATCAAGCAAAGAGGATATGATCTCCATGATGTAAAAGCTTATGGCCAGGTATAAGTATTGACTTAATACTTTGTTGTTGCCTTCTTTCTTCACAGCGTCATTTCTTAATATTTTTCGACTTACGCCAACAACTTAAATAACTCAATGGTCATCTCTTTTAGTTGGAATTAAGAAGTTTTGAGTTCAAGTCGCATAACAGTGGAATGAGATAAGGAATAAGAAGTGGTTGCCTCTCACTGTGTAAAAAAAAAAAAAAAAAAATTCCGACTTGCTGAGCTCCTTTTTCTGTCTTTGACATTGGATGCAGATGCTTAGAGATGCAGGTTTTGACAAGGTTGTTGCAGAGGATCGAACTGACCAGGTTTAGATAAAGCTTTCTTCTTTCTTTTTTCTTTGAGCGGTCAATTGTGAAAATTTGAACCCTGTTTAGACCATAAACCTAAATGTGCTTCTTACTGTGCTCTCAGTTCATACAAGTTCTGCAGCGGGAATTACATTCTGTTGAGAAGGGAAAGAACACCTTCATCCAAGACTTTTCTGAAGTGCGTCTTTCCATCATGAAATGCAACATTCTGTTTTGCTTCTTCCTTCTACTTCTAAATTGATAATATTGGTTCTCCTTTTCTAATCTACAGGAAGACTATAATGACATAGTCGGAGGATGGAAGGCAAAACTGGTTAGGAGTTCATCCGGGGAGCAGAGATGGGGCCTATTCTTTGCCAAGAAGAATTGATTTCTGCATCTCATATGTTATTGTTGTTGTAGTTGTTATTTATTTCAGACTCTAGTTCTTTTTTTTTTTTCTTTTTTTTTTCTTTTTAGTTGCACAATGAGAAGTAATTATCTTTCATCTCGTATCTAATCCTACCTCATTTACATGCCATGTAACTGGAGTTCTGGATTTTTCACTCATTCCAATGGAAGGTGATAACTAATAAATTATTTACATCGTTTATCAGACTCTAGTTCTTAAAATTGTTGTCCTAAACTCTTTAGTCTTTACTCTGTTACCCTATCAAATTGCGGATGGTGTGAACCATTCCATCCTATCATCCCTTGTATCTTGAATAATTTCTGTTGTGCTGGAATGAAGTTGTCCTTCTGTCTACCAAATGCAGGATTTGATGAAATCATTGATTGAAATGAGCTTTTATGCCCTTTTAACATCAGTGGTAAGGGACAGGTGATATATATATACATAAAAGTTGTCAGTATGGACGGGCAAAAAGAATGCCTATTCAGATCTGAAATGACAAAAGTACCCTTAATAACCTTTGGTATGGGTGTTGTATTCTAGAGGCATTTTTGTCAATTTGAGTCCAAATTGGCATTTTTTATGTCATTCCCAGAAAACACATTCTTATGTATAAATATTCCTGATTTATATATCGAATTATACCATATTATAAAATTAAGGTCGTTGGATGAGAAGACTCATGAGCTCTCTTTTAATTTAAAAATAATTATTTTATAATTTAATACAACTTAAATTGCAAAATAATTTTCATATATATAAATACTTCTTTCAAGTCAGGTAAACTAGTTCATCTCTCAATGTTACCATCCGAGCCCTAGCCTGAGCCAAAGATTGCAAAGCGATGGATGAAAATTTGATTGTTAAGATAGGTAAATTCAAATAACTGTACTATAATAGAAACATATATGTATACATTTTTGTTCCAAACTCAAAAGTAAGGTAGTATATATTCCCTCATCCCCTTAAAAAGGGAAAAACTGTGTTGCATATGGACAACATTCATAGGAAAGACATGAAATTCTACAAATCCAAGCAGGGAATGATATATTTTGGGAAAATAGGATGCGAGAGGGATCACTTAAAACCAATCCATCACATCCCCTTCGGACCTGACAACTACTGGTGCTGGTGATAGAGTATTTTGCAGTTTTTCTTTATCCTTGTCGGGCACCAGTAACAGATCTCCTTTCTGGTTCCCTACTGCAGTCTCGATCGGTCTGCTTAGAGTGGAAGATCCAAATATCTGCACCATTAGGCTTCCACCTACAACATAATGAATCTCAATCAAATTTGATTCATTGAAGTTGAGGTAATATTTGGGTGTCAACTTGCTGCGAGTGACGTGATAACAATGGGAAGATAGAACAAGTTAAAAGGAGAGAAGAGAAGGACGTATGGCATGGGAAGGAAACATGTGCTTCAAACTCAAACAAGCGATTATCATTTCAGGGATAGCTAAATTGGTGAAGATGAAGAACACTTACTAAGCACAAGAACTGCACCAATCCATCCACTTGTTCCCCACCTTTCACCAAGGAGAAACCAAGCAAAGCCAGCTCCCCAAAGTGGTTCCATTCCATAAATAATGGCTGTTTCTGTCGCTGAAACATCACGCATGGCCGCAATCTATATGGAGAAAGTAAAAATAATTTAATGTTCAATTATGTAAAGCACTATATCATGGTTAGAAAAACTGAAAGCATTCATGCTGCTAATAAGTGTAATTTCTAAATCCCACTCCTATGATGAAATTTTACGAACATTTTTTAGAAAAGTACCTCTACCCATAGACATAATCCAGTTGAGACTGTGCCAGTATAAAGTGCAGGTATCCAGGGAAAGGCAACCATCCAATCCCATAACACTGGCCATGTCCAAGTTGATGTCTCAGAATCTTGGAAGCCATCAAACCATCCTCCAATTAGAACCCAAAATGTAGATAAAAGAGCAACAACACAAACCTAGAAGAAACCACGGAGTTGATGACACAGCTGAAAATATTGCACTTGAATTCATTAGAGCAAAATGCAGCAGCAGGTTACTTCAATCTACAAACCTCATATCCCAGAAGTGCTAAGAAGTTCTCTTTCTTGGTGTTTCTTGAAATATGTTCAGTCCGAAGCATGTGAATCCCAAAAAATATAGCACTCAGAAAGCTCAAAAGATCTCCAACCTGGGAAGAACAAGGTAAAACAATCAGAGAAAACAAATTAATAATCCACACAACCATGATAATGATATAAGCTTAAAAGATTGTTGTCAAAATAAGCATAATAACCATGTAATGCATACATTTGGTGAGGAACCGCTGCATTCCAGCATAGCAACTCCAATTGCAGACATTAGAACACCAAACCAGGTCCTGGCAGGTATTATAGCTCCTAACATTCCATCAAGTAATGGTACAACAATGACCTGTTTCAGTCAGCAAGAACCAAAGTATAATGGGTTGCAGTTGAATTCTCAAAGAAAAGCCTCTTTTTCTGCAGAATCAGTTGTTCATTCATTCAGCTAGAAAAGGAAAAATATCCCTACACAGCTGACTTAACTCAGAACTTACTGTAAACAAGGAGATAAATGATGCACGACCGGCATCAGCTGTGAGTAATGCAAGTGCCTCAACAAGATAGCCTAAACTGACCCAGAATCCTAACTCTATGCCAGCATTCCGAGTCTGAACATCACCTCTTGCCCGAATCACAAATGGCAAGAATGGAATGGATGACATGACAAATCTCACAGCAGAAAAGTCTGCGGGGTCCATCATAGTTTCAACTGTTTTTACCACTGGAATGTCACTTGCTGTAAAATTCAACATGTAATAATTCTCAGGACAACAAAATCCAACCTTGGAAGTTGGAAAGTAAAGGCATAAATAATTATAAAATATAAGATTGATCGATTATATATACCAGACAACCTAAATGACACCAATTTATGAATTTCAAAGTAGATTTCTCTCTTGATTTAACAATTATAAAACCTAAGGAAGTTGGAAACTCACCATAAACTATGGTGATAAGATTGAGCAACATAATACTCCTCATCTTCTTTGATGCAAACAGAATTCTCCTCCACAAAGGTTGTTTTTTAACAACAAGCTTCTCCACATTATTCCTGGTCTCATCGTTTTGCATATCTGACAAAGACCCATTATGGATTCTTACATATTTCACATATTTCTTCTGAGCATTGGAACAGGAAGAAGGGCAGAAAGAAGATGAAAATAAAGGGTCAGAGGAAAAAATAGGGATATTGCGCCGTTTGCTTTGCCTGCTGGGTGCAGGGGAGAAGAAGAGGAACGCAGAGGTATTCTGCAAGATTTTTGTAGTTAAGGATGTAGAATCTCTTCTTCTCGTCGTTAGCTTCCATGTACTTGCTGATGATGAGCAAGCCATGGTTGAGGTCAACTTAAGCTTCTTCCACTTTAAACCATTCCCAGAATTGGATTAAGCATGTGAACAAGAGAGAGATGATTTTGAAGACGGAAATTTCTAAGCCATGAATGATGTGGGAAACAGACAAGATTGAATATCCTGATATTTTTTAAAATGTTCATGTGGGAAAATGGACAAACCAAATTGTTTACACTTGACAGGTTTTCGCCAGTCCGCGTTAGTTTATTAAACAACCGTGGACCACACGAAACGAATGGCACCTAACATATCCGACCATGTTACAGCTACAGTATTATGTTGTATTGTAATTTTATAAAATAATAATATATATTTATATATTTAATTTTTTATTTAAAAATATATTTATAATATTATATATATTTATTTAATATCATGTTATATTATTTTAATATTACATTATAATTATAAATTTATAATTTTACATGATATTGTAATTATAATATTGTAATATCTTTATTTTTTAAATTATTCTACTAAAATGTAATTAAATAATATTATTACTAAATGAGGGATGGATGAACATTTAGTAATGGTAATTTAGTTTCTTTCATAGTCAAGACCTTTTTTTTTAAAACAAAATTCTTAAAAAATAAAGAAAAAAACTGATAGTTGTGTTAAAGTATGTCTAATTTGAAAGAAATCGTGGAGATGAGAAGAAAGGAGAGAAGTTTTCATTATTTTTTAATTGAAACTTCTTAATTTATTTTAATTTATCTAAATAAAAGGAGATTAGGGTAAGGAAGTAAATTACAAGAATATGATACCTTTCCATTTCTTTACCCCTATCCTTTAATTTTTCCAATCCTTTAGTGTAATACCTTAACCTTCATCAAGGATTATTCTCACTGCAAGTATTAAAGTTTTAGATCCTATTCAAGTTCCTTCATGTAGGGAACTCTAACCAATAATTTTTGCCTCCTAATATGGGTTGGGTTAAACTCTCTCAAGGTTTTCTCTCCTCTCATTATGAGCCCCCCTCTCATTTTCTTCCTTTCCAATTGTAATACAAGCAGCTTGCAACCTCCTCGAACTATTCATCGTTCATGCTACACAACTCCCTCCCTTTGTGCCACACAAGTCCCTCCCTCCTTGGATTGCACTACTCCAAATCTGATCACGTAGCACAATTCCCCTAGCCGCCAACTATGCTTAATCAAGAGAAAGGTAGGAATCATGTCCATAAAACTCTCTACTCGGATCTGACAGCTAATGATCTGATGCCCTTGGAGTAGCAAGTGTTGGCCTTCATCGTTGGGGATACTCTTTTTGTGGCAAATACCTACTGTTAGTCACTCACCTTATCAAGTTTGAAGGTTTTAACCCATTACCTTATACCATGACATTTTTAGTCCCTCACCTTACTAGATTTATAGGTTTTAGTCCCTCATCTATTAAAATTGAAGAAAATAGCCCTCACTTTATATTGACTATTAACTCTATTAGCTGAAAATAGATTTTTATCAACTAATAGTCAACTAATAACCAATTAACGAAATATTATAAAATTAGTTCTATTAATTCTATTAATTAGAAGAAGGTTTTTGACAGTTAACAGTTAACAATAGTCAGCCAACAGAGTTAACAATCAGTTAAGAGAACTAACAAAGTGTTATAAAGCAAGGGTTATTTTCTTCAATTTTAATAGGTGAAGCGCTAAAAATGTCATAGTATAAGGTTAAGGGCTAAAACCCACAAATCGAATAAGGTGATAGGTTAAAAATGTCATAATATAAGGTGATGGGTTAAAACCTTTAAACTTGACAAGGTGAGGGGCTAAAAGTAGGCTTTTGCCTCTTTTTGCTATCTAGTCAAAATAGTGAAGAGGAAAGATTAAGCCTTGTAGAAGACCTAGGACAAAATAGGAAGTGGATTGGTTCTATCATTGAGTAAGAACAAGGAGAGGGAAGGGAGGAGGAAGTTGATTTTGGAAGAATTCAAAGATGGAGGGGTGCCTAAGGTATGGCTTGATGACTTAGGCACTACAAAGGCACCATAGGTGGATGTTGTTCGGTTAAATTTAATAAATAATCTATTAACTATGTGTTTTATTTTTATTTAGTTTAAAAACAATTTTTTCTTTCAAAATCATTTATAAACTATCAATTTTGTTTTAAAATAATCTACTTGGCAAACATTTTGTTAACTAGACAAATGGAATGTTGGTCTAGACAAGTTAGTGTAAACAAGTTGCCTCCTAAACTTTTGAAAAATATTAAATAGAGTACATATATTTTTGTTTTTTTTTTTTGCAACATTTTGTTTTTAAAATCTAAATTCTATGTTAAATGTAATAATTAATTAAGATAATAATTTTAATTTACATTGATCAATATTCTAATTTTAATTTACAATAATCAATATTATAA